TGGGTCGCAAATAAATTTGATAAGTGAAGAAACGGCAAAAAGACTTAAACTGAAAAAGGAGCGTAAAGAATTGCAAATTGCTGGCGTAGGCCAAATTGAGGCTAACATTAAGGGTAAAGTTTCGACATCTATAAAATCTCGAATAAATGAATATGAGGCATATGTTGACTTGTGGGTCATTAAGTCGATTTCCGGGTACCAGCCCGAAGGCAATATTGCAACAGCAGATTGGAATATTCCTCAGAATATTGAGCTAGCCGATCCATACTTCTTTAAGCGTCAAAGAATCGACATTTTAATTGGAGCCGAAATTTTCTTCAGTTTACTGTCAGTAGGTCAAATAAAGCTTAATGCTGAGTTACTACCCCGTCGGAAATTCAATTACTTTCAAAGCAATTTACAAAGTACTTTTTTACCAACCACAAGTAGTTTGAATTCTTCCTTTTTTCTTGTAAGCAACTAACTTTATTAACAAGGCGATGTCCTAAAACCAAGCTAATTATCCGACACTACATATGTTCCAACTACTTTAAAATTCATAAACTGCACAAATAGTTTGTTACCAACTACTTTGTCAATTGATTAATTTCTGAGACAAGTCTGTTCTTTTCGACGGGGTAACGTTACAAAAGACTCAGTTAGGTTGGATTGTTTCGGGCAAATGTAAAGCCAAGCCAAACATTACCAGAGCTATTTGTGATCTGGCGGTTGCCAATACTGAAGATTTTGTCATGGAAGACGAAAATGTAGACAAGACGCTGCAGAAATTCTGGGAAATAGAGGAGGTGAAAGGTTGCGAATCAAAATGGACGCCAGAGCATATGGATTGCGAAAATCACTTTAAGGAAAATCTCAAAATATTGCCCAGTGGCCGATTTGAAGTAAAACTGCCCTTTAAAAAAGACCCATCTGCACTTGGCTCTACATTTGAAATAGCTCAAAAACGATTCCTTTCATTAGAAAGAAGATTGCAAAAAACGCCAGAAGTTTATGACATGTATAAAGACTTTATGAATGAGTACATCACATTAGGCCATATGTCTCCAATAGAAAATATTGAATTTAATATGCCACATTACTTTATCCCGCATCAGTGTGTTTTAAGACCCGATGCCGCAACTACCAAGTTACGAGTGGTTTTCGATGCGTCATGCAAAAGTTCAACGCAAGTTTCACTAAATGAAACTTTGATGGTTGGCCCGACCATTCAACCAGAATTATTTAGTGCATTAATACGCTTTCGTTGTCGCAAATGGGCCATAACCGCAGACATTACTAAAATGTACCGTCAAGTAGCCATTAATGACTATGATAAAAGATTTCAGCTAATTTTATATAGAGAAAGCCCAACCGACCCAATTCAGAAGTATTGCCTGAATACTGTAACGTACGGTACAACGCCCGCTCCATTTTTAGCTATTCGATGTTTAAAGCAATTGAGCGACATATATTCAGACCAATATCCACTCGGTTGTAGGGTAATCCGAAATGAGTTTTATGTAGATGATATGCTATCTGGTGCGGACAACATAAAAGAGTTGCTACAAATTCAAGAAGAGGTCGTTACGATTTTAAAAGGCGGAGGATTCAGCTTGGCAAAATGGCACTCCAATTATCCAAAGTTGTTTCAAAACGAAGAAGGGGAGAAATCGTTGGAGGCGGACGAAACCGGCACAGTTAAGGCGCCACTTGGGCTCCAAAAAAAGACACAATAAAATTTAAAATCGACCGAACTTCACTTGAAATAAAACCCACTAAGCGTAATATATTGTCAGTTTCATCCCGTATATTTGATCCGCTCGGTTTACTATGCCCTCTTATTGTTAACGTTAAAATCTTATTGCAAGAATTATGGCTATTAAAGTTGGCATGGGATGAATCAATTCCCCAAAGTTTAGAAACATCATGGAAAAAATTGGCTCAAAATTTAGCACAAGTCGACAAAATGGAGGTACCACGCTTTGTAAATATGTTCCCCAATGAAAGTATACAAATTCATGGCTTCTGTGATGCTTCGCAACGTGCTTATGGTTGTTGTTTATATATTCGAAGCACACATGACAATGCTGTAACATCGCAACTGTTGACTGCCAAGTCTAAAGTGGCGCCGTTAAAAACCAAAAGTCTCCCCCGTCTCGAACTTTGTGCCGCCTTGTTACTAACAAAATTATATAAAGTAATTGAGCCACTAATTCAGAGCGTTGTAATTGAAAGGGTTGTGTTTTGGTCTGATTCAGAAATAGTGCTGTACTGGTTGAAAAAGCACCCGGCCACTCTGTCTACTTTTGTCGCAAATAGGGTAGCTGAAATCCAGGAAAACGCAGTCAATGTTGTATGGAGACATGTACCGACTAAAGAGAATCCTGCAGACTTAGCCTCACGCGGATGTGATATTGACCAATTACTGCAACCTTTGTGGACTGAAGGCCCATGTTTCCTGGTAAAAGATTCGAGAAATTGGCCACAAAACAAGAAATTTGAGCTCGAGGAATCCAACACACAATTAGAGCTAAAAAAGGCGAAAACCATACTAAACCTTGCAGTAAAAGAGAATATAATTTTAAAAATAATTGACTCTTTGTCATCCTTTAACAAAATTGTACGAATTGTAGCATATATTTACAGATTTATAAAGCCATTCGCAAATACAAGGGGGACGGATATAACCGCCAAAGAATATAATTGGGCGTTCTTAAAAACAGTGGAAACCGTTCAGAAATCTGAATTTGCGGACATACTCGAGCAAATGAGGAAAGGCAACTATCCACCGGCAAATATTCAACGATTAAACCCATTCATACAAGAGCACACGGAACAAACCCGAAATTTATCTCTGCTGCGCGTTGGAGGCCGTTTAAAACACTCAGACTTTCCAGAAGACATAAAATTTCCGTTGTTATTTCCAAAATCCTCTAAATTCGTACGTAAATATGTTGAGCACTTGCACCAGTCCAACTGCCATGCAGGTCCAAAGGTTCTAGTTGGCTTAATGCGACAAAAGTTATGGGTCATAAATGCCAGAGATATTGCCCGAAAAATAGTTCGCCAGTGTATTCGCTGTTTTAAATTCCGCCCAAAACTAATGAGCCAAATAATGGGTTACTTGCCACCAGATAGATTGAGATCAGTTAGACCCTTTCTTATTACGTTAAAACATCGTCCGGAGTCTGTCGACGCGCCATACAAAAATTG